GCAAAACCCACTTTCTCCGATGAATTTTTGTCCATCACATCTGAGGAAGTGGGTTTTGCCCACCAAAGCTCATGATTCTATATATTTTGGTTAGTCTCTAAAGTGCCACAGGGCCACTCATTGTATTTGAAGTTAATAGATTTGCACGGCTACCCTTCTGAGACTTGTAGAAGGCTTAGTCATTTTGCTGTGAGATCTATATTTCTATGTAATAAATGACGTAACGAATTCACACGACTGTGGCTCTTTTGGCTAACGTTGATTGCTCATTTGGCTCCTGAGCCACTGAGGTCTGAGTATCACTGGCTAACCAGTTGTTGTTTATTTGCATTAGCATAACCTCAGAACGAAGAGAACAGTCCCTGTCTCCAGCAAGCTTACAATCACACAACTAGTCCTTACTCTCTCATGCAGCTCCCAGCATTCCATTGGATCTTCTCAGGGGAGAAAGGATTTGTGGGAACAGGCACAGGTCTATTCTGTTCTTTAGTGACTCTGATACTGCTCCTGTCTTCATGTCTCTGGCCGCTTGGAGGATCTAATTTTCCATGCCAGGATCCTTATAAACTCAGTCACATGGAGGCTGATTGGAGGCCGAGGGCATTAGGGGGCTTTTGTTAGGTGCATTAATACATATTAGTTTGTATTAACTTGTCTCCTCAGATGGCAGAAGGGACTTCTGATAAATATTGGTTTTTCTTCCCCGTTTTAAATGGCAAGATTAAAAAGCGAAGTGTTTTGCTGAATTCCATTGAGTGCACAGTGGCTCTCCATAACCTGCCCTCCCCTTCTGGCAATCAAAAGAACCTTTGTAGAGGCAGACTGAAGAGCCTAAATAAAAAAAATCACAGAACAAGAGGCTAATTCCACTCACTCTTTCATATTTCATTATTTGATAACATCAGAAGATGAGTCCATCAGAATTGCTTTGGCGAAGGCAAACAGGAGTGTGTCTGATCAATATTTATTAATACTTTCAAAGACCAGGGAGGAAAAGTTGAGCGGGCTCAGTAATGCAGTGAATAATTATTCCTGCAAATCGGGCTTGGCCAAAGGCGATAGTGCCGGAGAGGCCAAGTTTTCGTTTTACCCAATTAAAGAGGCACACCTTTCTTTCTCTTTGTAGGAGATTTTTAATTTTAAAAAAATCTGATTTTGAAAAGAGTGACAGGCAGGGGCGGCCCGTCCATATAGGCGAACTAGGCGGTCGCCTACGGCGCCAAGTTAAATGGGGCACCAAATGGTGGCGCAATATCGAGGGGTTTGGAGGTGGGGGCACCGATTGCATGGTTCGCCTAGGGCACCAGTTGCTGGCAGCTAGTCTAGGGCCGCCCCGGTGACAGGTGACTTCTGAATCGATTAGGTGCCGATTTCTACTGCAGAAGCTAAGGATTTCAGACAGGTTACGGAGAAGAAGGGGGAGTAACACACTGTGTCATCATGGTTAGCACTTTTGGACAAGGCTTCTATCACCGCACTGCCAATTCAAATTTAAGGAAGGTTAGCAAGGTAATTTGTTAGGCTGCACCCCAAAACCAGGCCTCAGTGTAACATAAATGCTTCCGCAGAGGCTACCTCCAGACTTTACTTTCACTTTCGAAAGGGCGCGTGATTGGCACGTGAGTATGCAAATGAAGCCCGGGATATTTAAATCCCAGGCTCATTTGCACTTTCAAAGTACCTAATCTACATCCTTCTGTCAGCAGAGGGATGTAGTTTAGATACACCCAGAGACAAATAAGAAGGGTGTAATCCAGTGTTCCCTCCAATCTTTTCCATCCATGTGTGGATTTTTTTCCATCCATGTGCAGAATAAATTTTCTTTATGCACACCAAGGCTTGTGCAAATGTGCACCACTGGTAGGAACAAACCACCTTGCTGTCGGTGCTCTGCTAATCACCTGGACAGTATTGGTGTAGACGGAGCTTGATCCTGCCTTGAGGGTGGGGGGCTGGACTCGATGATCTCTCGAGGTCCCTTCCAGTCCTATTATTCTATGATTCTATGACCTGAGACCCCCCGGCATACAAACCGGAGCACTCCTCAGTTTTAGAGATGACCTTGTCTCGGTGCCACAGAGTTCACATTGCGACAGGCTAGATTCTCCCACTGTGCTGGTCTGGCTACGCTCCAGCCGAGATGTTATCTCTCTCCGTGTCCTTCAAGACTTAATCCACAGCGGCGGCTTGAAGGATTTGTTCCCGTCGCTCAGGTCTGTTCCAGTGATCCTCGTCCTGAGCCGACCGAGAGGGGTTGGGCTGGAGGCTGATTCTGAGAGAGGGATGAAGGGGACACGACAGGAGTCCAGATCCTACCAGCCCTCCTACGTTGGTGCATAGGAACCAGCAGAGGCGGACAGAATTTCGAGCTAATCCACAGCGGCGGCTTGAAGGATTTGTTCCCGTCGCTCAGGTCTGTTCCAGTGATCCTCGTCCTGAGCCGACCGAGAGGGGTTGGGCTGGAGGCTGATTCTGAGAGAGGGATGAAGGGGACACGACAGGAGTCCAGATCCTACCAGCCCTCCTACGTTGGTGCATAGGAACCAGCAGAGGCGGACAGAATTTCGAGCCTCCAGGGCAAGATGGGGGGGGGGGCGCCGGACTCCCCGAAGGGGCGGGG